GGCAGGTGGATCTCTCTGAGTTTGAGGCCAGCCTGGTTTACATAGTGAATTCCAGGACAGCCAGAGCTACACAGTAAAACCTTGTCTTGTAAAAACAAAACAAAGGCAAAACCAAACCAATGAAACAAAAAACTCTCCTACAATGAAGTGAGATATAAGAATTTTGGAGTACTTCATATAAAATACGAGGGAAATGACCAGCATCTCCCCTAATGAACAGAACTTGATCTAGCCTCTAGAAGGCTACGGCAGAAAATTAATGGAGTTCTGAAGCCTACTTTAATATTTTATTATTTTTGATCATGTGCATGTGTGTCTGTGTGTAGGGGTGTGTGAACATGAGTACAAGTGTGGAGGCGGAATGACAAGCAGTTGTAAGCCACCTTGATATTGGTGCTGGGAATTGAACTTGGGCCCCCTAAAAGAGCACGCTCTTCACTACTGAGACCAGCTTTCCAGCCTCTGGAGGCTACTTTAAACATGTAATTCTGTATATCTGGATAATGGAGTTAACTTTGGGACTGAAAGGAACGCCTTCCTTGTAGTTCTTAATAAATGTACACTTAGCCTAATAGCATTCAAAAATCTAAAAACACACACACCAAAAACAAAAAAACAAACAAACAAAAACCAAACACCTGGTGGTACACATCTAACTCCAGAACTCTAAGAGCTAAGGCCAGAAATTGAGTTCAGCTTTGACTACATGGCCAGCCTGGTCTACACATTGAATTCCAGGACAACCAGGGCTATGCAGAGAGACCCTGTCTCAAAAAAAAAAAAAAAAAAAAAAAAAATTGGTTGGATGGAAGGATGGATCAGCATATTGCTAACTGGGAGTGATTTGGAAATTTGGAGAAGCATTTCCATCTCTTCCTAAGAATCCTATTTATAGAGTGACTGGTCTCCAGCAGTGGGCCAGTCAAGTAAATAGAAATAATATAAAATGTCAAGTACCTTATAGTACCAACTGCTTTGGTGCTATAAGACACCGACCCTACTCAGTTTCCTTAGATGGCCTCTCTTTTGTGTATGCACTGGTAAGGTAGGTCATATATATGCACTAATAATTGTATTGGTGGTACTAGTTACTAGTGTAACTAGCCAAGTACACTCAGGTTTGCCTGGTCAGCAAACACCAGGGATCCTGCCTATCTAACATCCCCTGTGCCAATAGGGTTTTTTCTGTGTAGCCATGGCTGTTCTAGAACTTGCTTTGTAGACTAGGCTAACCTCAAACTCAAGAGATTGGCCTGCCTCTGCCTCCTGCCTCCTAAGTGCTAGGATCAAGAAAATGCGCCATCACACCTGGCATCTCACACATTTGTTGAGTGTTTGTGTGCATGAATGTATGGATGTATGTGAACCACAGGCATGCCTGTGTCCATGGTGGTCAGAGAAGGACCCTGGTACTGGAACCCTAGTCCACTAGGAGAAGAGCAGTAAGTGCTTTTTTTGTTTTTGTTTTTCAAAACAAGGTTTCTCTGTGTAGTTTTGTAGCCTGCCCTGGAGCTCACTCTGTAGACCAGGCTGGCTTCAAACTCAGAGATCTGCCTCCAGAGTGCTGGGTTTAAAGGCATGTGCCACCACCACCCTGCGTAAGTGCTCTTAACTACTGAGCATTGTTCAGGCCCCTAGCAATTTCTTTTGACTTGGGTTCTGGGGACTGAACTCAGGTCTTCAAGCTTGCACACTTTAAAGCCAGAGCTGTCTCTCTCTCCTACTGTTTTTTTTTTTTGTTTGTTTGTTTGTTTAAGATAGGGTCTCACTGTAGCTCAGACTGGTGTCCAATATGACAATCCACCTACTTCAGCCTCCTCAGTATAAGGATTACAGGCATGAACCAACACACCCAACTATTCTCAACTGTTTAAAATCAAGGAATGGAAAAGCTCATGTGTCATCCTTAAGTACTGCTAAGGCTTCGTCTTTCAGTGAGTAACACATTTCTGCACCTGGGCTAGTACTGCCATTTAGTAGCATCCAAAGTTTAACAAGACTGCTTCACAATGGAGGATGAATCATAGGAGTCTAGGGTCCTCCTCCAATAAATTCTTGACAAAAGAACCACAAAGATAACCCGAACCCTCCTTTAAGCTCCTATGACTCTTTAACTCAACAGCTACCAAGTTAATATCATCTTTCTTCTTTCCCTAACTCATCCCCCTCCACTCCTGAGCATGCTAAGCAAGCTCTCTTCTGCTGAACTACACACACCCCCTTTTTTTGGGTGGGGGGGTGAGTTCAAGACAGGGTATCTCTATGTAACAGCCTGGGCTGTCCTGGAACTAGCTCTGGAGACCAGGCTATCCTCGAACTCAGAGATCCGTCTGCCTTTGCCTTCTGAGTGCTGGGATTAAAGACCTGCGCCTCCACCACCTGGCTTCATTTTCTTCTCTTTTTTTTTGGGGGGGGGCAGTATTACTCTATAGCCAAGGCTAGCTTCCAATTGTGGGTAATTCTCCTGCCTCTGCCTTCCAACTGCTGGGATTAGGATGTGCCACCATACAAGGCTCTTCAGCTTTTCTTCATCAGGGTCAAGTGAACAAAGGAAACTACAGGATGAACAGTGCACTAATGGTTCATTGAGAAATAGTTACACCAGCTTATTTAACTATTTGGCTGACATCTGTAATCCTAGGCTATGGAAAGTGGGCTGCTATGAATTTAAGGCCACTAAAGTCTATAGTTCTAGGTCAGCCTGGACTACAGAGCAAGGCCAAATCTAAAAAAAAAAAAATGTAGCTCACATTTTGAATTAAAAACTCTCATAGGGGCTGGGGCTAAAACTCAGCTGGTGGTATGCTGCCTCGAGTGCACACAGCTCTGGGTTCAATCCCCAACAGCACAGAAATGGTACATGATGGTACGCTTATACGACTTCAGCACTCAGGAAGTACAGGCAAGACCAGGAGCTCAAGGGTCATTTTTGACACACAGAGATCAAAGCCAGCAAGAGCTATAGGAGACCCTGTCTTAATTAATTAATCTTAGTCACCACTGAATGCAGTAGTATACACCTGAGAACAGCTGAGGGGCTCAAGCGGATAGCTCCACCGTAACTTGTGCTAGAGAGACCCGATCTCAAAAAGGCAAGATGGCTCGTTGTGTAAAGTCACCTACTGCCAAGCCTGGCGGCAGGAGTTTTGACCCTGGGAACTCAGGTGATGTAAGAACTGACTCTCACCAATTCTGACCTCCACACGCGTGCATGTACACACACAAAGTAAATAAATAATATTGGGTGTGGTGGTACATGCCCATAATCCAAGAACTTAGGAAGTGGAGGAAGGAAGTTCAAGGCCAGTTTAAACTACACAAGGAGTTCAGGGTCAGTCTGGGCTAACTGAAACCATTTCAAAAGTACAAGGGGAAAAACAAGCTGGTATAGTAGCTCACACCTGTAATTCCAGCACTCTAGTGGTTGAAGCAGGAGGATTACCCTGATTTTGAGTCCAGCCTGGGCTAGAAGAAGACATCTCAAAAAACCAAAAGAACCCTAGTTAATGCTGACCTGGTAGCTTTTTGTTTGTATGGCAGTTTTCAGATTTTTTTTCAAAGCATCTGAGGGATGCAGGGCGAAATTGATTATAACTGTGAAGTCATCACATAAGACTATTGTATTTTCAAATGAGTCTGTGCAGCCCTGGCTGGCCTGGAACTCTCCATGTAGACCAGGCTGGCCTCAAATCCATAAGAGATCCACCACACCCAGCCAGAAAGCCCTTCTTTATTCATACAAGGCGCAGGCATTCAACCCTGAGGAAACTTTCATGGGTCCTACTGTTTAAGCAAAGGCCTAGGCATTTGACGTCTATAACTGGCAGTCAAATTCATTCCGCGGTCCCCACAGATACCAATGGCTAACCACCTACTCCAGCGCCTCCCTGGACACAGTGTGAAGTGACAGCAGTTACAAAGCTGTCTTTTGAAGGTGTAGCCTGGAAATCTCTAGGAAACAAGATGCTTGGTTTGCAATTCAGAAAGTGAACATCACATCAAATGCCAGCCTTTTAAATGCCGGCACGGCTCTAATTTTAAATTGCAAGTTTATTCGTTCAAAGAATGTCTCCCCTATATCCCATATGCCACATACATGAAGTCCATCAAAACGGCCATTTCTACTTAAGTACTTTCTACATCTCCGGAAGATATGGCTCTAGGAACAAAGGCACTGAAAACTCTCCCGTTTGTGGATCAAGACTTCACACTGGACACTGTGTAGGCTTACAAGGAGCACATTGGAATTAGTTTGCCTTTCCCTTGCAGCACAGCCGTTTCGCCCCTAAGTTATGGCTCGGATTTCAAAACGCAAACAGATGTTTTTGAAGCATCCGAAATGGGCCACTCCATTGCTATTACTGGGCCGTGGTGACTCTGAAATTATTTTCTGTTCCAACCCTGCAAAGGGCAGAACCCCATCCCTTTGTCGTAAAATTTTGGAAGTGGGGCAGCCCACTTTTAGAAGTTTCCAAAAGTGGCTGGTGACGTTCGAGGTCAGGCCATTGGGGGAGTCGGGGCTCGATGGGAGAAATCCTGAGGGCAAGAGAGCTCAGAGATTTCCAAGCTCTGAGGTCGAGCTCTCCACGCGCCCGGGTCTAGCTGGTCCCAGGGGATTTTGTGGTTGCTATAGCAGTTAGAGGGCTGTTGCTTTTCGCAGCCCCGAGAGGTGGGATGGACTTTGGTGTATGGGGGTGGGGAAGAGGTGGGTGCAATCCGGCTGGGCGCTCTCCGAGCCTCCAGCTGACCAGCACCGCGGAGGGCATGAGGCCAGAGTTGCAACCTCGGCCCATCCCCGCGAGCCAGAGTCTTCAACTGGCGTCGCGCCCACCTCGTCCTTCAGATTGGGGGGTCCAGCTACGCCGGGCCTCGCCGCCATACCCAGAAATGAATGGGGGTGGGGAGAGGCCTTGGCAGAGCTTGGCCTCAGGATCCGCGTCCCGGAGGAAACACAGCAAAGGGGAAGCCGTCTTACTGGCCTCTCCTCTGTTGTGATCACGGGAAATACGCGGTGATTACCCCAAAACCCCGCTCTCGAAGGCGAGGCTGCGGGGCTGCCGGGACGGTTTGAGGACTGGGCTCGGCCGGGGAGACACCAACCTTCCCCTCCCCGGCCCCCGACCCAACTTCCCGCCGTCTCCCGGCACCGCCACTTCAGGCAGCCCACTCGGCCCGGCCTCTCCCCGCGCCCGGACCACCCCCCATGGGGTGCTCTCACTGCGCAGCGAGTCCCTCCGCTGCCTCCTCCCAGCCCAAAATGGCGGCGGCGGCCACCGAGCTGCTCGTCGCCTTCCTCAAGGCTACGGATCACTCCGCGCGCAAGTCCCGCCCCTCCCGGCCGGATCTAGTTTTCTTCCTGGTAAAGACTAACGCCATCAATGAACTCTTTAATTGAGTTCTGTCAGGGCGGGTCCAGTTGTGCTTCCGCACAGCTCGTTGTTGATTAAAGTGAGGAGATTGGCAGGCAAGCGACCCAATCAAAGAAGAGATCGGTGAGCGCGGGACGTCCACGCAAAAGCAGATAGGTTTTGGCGTTGCTGGGTATGGTTGTTGACGTAAGGGAGCTTGAAGGTATCCTGGGCTGCTTTCCTAGCGTGGAAGAACTACAACCCCCAGCAGTCATTGCGCTGCCAGGCTGTCCTCTTCTCCCCCCCCCCCATCTCCCCCCATCTTAGTGCCTGAGCGGCTTGGCCAGAGCTGCTGCTACTGCAGCAAGAGGTAGGGCTGAGGCGTTGAGAATTTCATGGACAGGCGGTCGCACAGAAAGACACACAGAAGTAGTGGTGTACACTAAGCCCTTGACAGCAAATAGGTCAGTCCCACCTTTGCTAAAACCTCCCTTCCATGACTTTTTCCCCTCCTCCAAGAAACCCATTTTTTTACCCCCATTTGATTTTTCCTTCAGCTGCATGTAGTATGATGACTTCTTTCCCCCATTTCCCCGTCCCTTGAGGCAAGAGGGTAGCCATCAGACTCTGTAAACGCAAAGACTTAGACTGTAGGTTCTGCCCAGGTCCCAGCCTGGAGAGGTTGAGGGCGTCAAGACAGGGGGTTCCAGGAGTCACAGATCCCCACCCCCAGCTTCCCCAAGCAGTTTCCTTCCTACCTTCCTGTCCAGGGGACAAAACTTAGGCCTACCTTCCTAACTGCCAGCCTGGTCTTCACTTGCTAGGAGAGTAGAGGCCTGGGGCCTACAGAACAGGACCGGAAAGATGGTCTCTCGGTCCCATTTGGCCCCTTGCTGACCAGAGGTCTGAAAACTAGGGTATGGGAGCAGCTTTCGGAGCCTTCATTTGAAAGTGAAGGCAAGCAGCTCTGGGGCCACAAAATGGCTGCTGCTGCTGAGGCAGACAGAGCCTGGCCAACCAGATTCTGCCTGAGGACTTAGGTTTCTGTTGTTGTTCACAAGCAGGTAACACTAGTGCAACGCATCTGCTGAGACAGGAGAAGATGGCCACTCTGAACCATAGCAACTGTAATTCAGAGTCACCAGCAGCCCTGGAGGAGGCGAAGGTAAGTACCCACCCCTCCCGGCCACCTGAAAACCCTGAATGTGGGCTCAAACACCTGAAATCCTTTATTTTTTTTTTTTAAATTTTTTTATTGTTGTTGTTGTTTCAAATGTCCTGGCAGATTTAGAAAACCAGTATCTTGTTTTGTTTTTGTTGTTTGTGATGGGGGAGGGGGGGTCTTTCTATGAGTCCCCAGCTGGCCTTGAACTTGTAACCAGGGTCTTGTTTCAGCCTTACAGGTGCTAAAATTACAGCTTGCATCACCACACCCAGCTAGAAAGCCAGCGTTGTCAGTGAGGCTTGTACTGTGCTCTGGGAAGTAGGCCAGACTGTGACTCAGTGGTATCTCACGAATTCCTAAAAACCCTTCAAGGGAGGAATTATTTCCAGTTGACAGAAGCTAAAGTTCTGAGAGCTGCAATACCTTTTCCGGAATCACGCAGCCTACAAACAACAAAATCCCACTTTAAACACAGAAGACCATGCCTCTCACTTAATGACTAGGAACTTCAAGGTCAAATAACTTGGTTGGATATTTGCACTTTTTTTACTCCCAGGGCCGAGAAGGGCCGAGAACCAAGAATGAAACAGGAAAAGAGTTTTAATCTAAAACAAAACAAAACAAAAAAGCCAAAAACGGGGGGGGGGGGGGGGGGGGGGGGGGCTCAGAAGAGAGAAAGATCCTAAAGCTCCCAGTAAATGAAACCTATGGGCTGAACAGGAACCCCTAGCGCCCCAGCTCATGCTGGCTCTCATTGGCCCCCCTTGGCCTATTCTCTCATTACCAGCACTTCCAAAATATCAAAAAGGCAAGACCCAGAGAATTGTTGTGGACTTCACGGTGCTGGGCTTGAACCCAGGGCCTCCCAATGCTAGAAAAGCGCCTTATCCCTGAGCTGCATCCCAGCCCTTTGTTTGTTTTGTTTCAGAGATGGAGCCTAAGGGGAACTCTTGGGGGTGGAGATAGGTTGTGAGCTGGGGTTCTCTGTGTGGCCCTGGCTATCCTGGGACTTGCTCTGTAGACCAGGCTGGCCTCAAACTCACCGAGATTCACTGCCTCTGCCTCCACCTCCCAAGTGCGGGCATTATATGTGCCTCTCACTATGCGTGGCTCAGAGTGGCTTTTGGCCCCTCCTACCTAGCCATTTCCAGGGTTTCTTATGCATTGAAACTAATGGCTCATCAAGGCTAAACTGTTCAGGAAGGGCAAGTGACTCCTGCAGGTTACAGAACTTATTTCTCACAGTGAAAATGGGGGTAAAGGGACAGCAGACAGCTGGTTTGGGGCAAGAATCACTAGGGGATTGAGGGCTGGGGACAGGTAACTGACAATAAACATACAAATACGCCATCTTGGGTTTCTATGCCCAGTACTTTGTCTCTCTAGGATGGGCAACAGTTCCATCTTAGAGATGAGACGAGACCAGTCACATCTGGTCTTCCTGCAGGCGAAGGGGCAGAACAGACACCTCACAACCTATCGCCACCCCTAGAGTTTCCTTTAGGCTCTGTCTCTGAAATACATCATAAAACAGGCAGCATGATGCTTCAGATGCATAATCCCAGCACTCAGGAGGTTGAAGCAGGACCGCTGAGGATTAGAGACCAGGGTGGTCTACAGAATGAGTTCCAGACTATGCTGGAGTACCAAGTAAGACTGCTCCCCAAACGACCCCCCCCCCAAACAATCCAGCAATACCTATACATACTCCTGCTCTTAAAAGGCTGCAAATAGTTTATCGCCCCAATGTAAACCTTAAAATCCCCTGCTCAGAGGCCAGCAAGCTGGCTTAGCAGGTAAAATGCTTGTACCCAGCCTGACAGTCTGAGTGCAACCCCCAGGATCTACATGGTAGAAAGGAAAAACCAACTCCCACGTCTATCTTCTGACCTACACACACACACACACACACACAAATACACTCAGGCCCTGTAAGTAGGGTTCGTCTGCACGCACACATAATAAGTGAATGGAATGAAACTCTACAAAGGAACCCCTGCTCAGATACCATTCGTGTTGTATAAAACAACACGTGAATGACAGTGGTTATTATTAGAAAGCTCCCAAACCACAAACTTGGAGCAATTTGTCCCTTATCCCCCACACCCAGGGCTCCCACCCTCACCACACAGATAAGCAGATGCCCTTTGCAGACACAAGACTCCTTCCTCTCCCCTCTCCCAAGGTCTCCTTGTGTAGCCCTGGCTGGCCTGGAACTTGACAGACTGGCCTCAGATGGAGAAATCCACTTGCTTCTGTCTCGCAGTGCTGGGCCTGATAGATTCTTTCTCTGCTTCAAAGTATCAAAATCTCCCTGTAGCCTCTCCTTGGTTATGACCTCTTGATGCTTCTCACGTAAGGAGAGAAACAAACTTGTATTTACTGAGCATGGGGGTAAAGTGGCACCTTCTCAGGGAATGAAGACAGATGGTAAATAGTAATATGCTAGGTGCTAGCTGTGACATTACCTGTGGGACGTGACAGAGTAGCTGGGAGGGGAGGAAGGAGAGCCGCTTTCTGGAGGTCTTTATGGGGAACATCACTTGACAGACAGCATTAGAACTGAAGCATGGGGAACAGGAAAGGGTCAGCCATGCAAAGAGCTGGAAGCAGGTTTAGTTATATAATTTTCAGGGGGGTGGGGGGCAGGGAATCCCTGTTCAAAAGCTAGTAAACTCAACCCCTGGCCTGGTAACACAGGTCTCTAATCCTAGCTACTCTGGAGGCTGAGGCAGGTGGATTATAAATTCGGGACTTGCCAGGGTACAGAGCGAGTTCAAGTTCAGCCTGGAAAACTTAGACTCTATTTCAGAACCGAAGTTCAAGGTCTAGGAATACAGCTGAGTAACACTGTGTCTGCTGAGCATGTGTGACTCCGGCTTCAGTACAGTTATTGACTTCAGAGCTAGTTTTGGTGTCCTTTACCTGTTATTAATCCCAGCTACTTGTGAGGCTGAGGCAGGAGGATGGTGAGTTGGAGGCTAGCCTGGGTTACAGTAGGAAGACCTCGATTTCAAGCAGAGCAGAGCATTAAACCCAAGTATAAATCCTTTCTCAGTGTGGGTACCTGTGAAGGTGTTCAGGTAGCCCAGGCTGTCCTTGAGCCTGGCTTGAAGTTCTGATCCTCCTGCCTTAGCTACCCTGATTCCGGGATTTACAGGTTTGGGCTACCACATCTAGCTTCCCTAGCTTTCATTTGTGGAAGGCCTGTTCTAGGTCTGGTTCTGGACGTTGAAATGAGCTGTGGTGAAGAGGATAGCTCAATTATGGCTACCCAGCATGCATGAAGCCCTGGGCTTGATCTCCAGCACTGCATAAACCAGGCTTGATAGCATATGTCCATAATCCAGCATTCTGTGGGTAGAGGCAGGAAGATCAGAAGTTCAAGGTTGTCTTTGGTTGCCCAAATGAATTCAAAGCCAACCTGGTCTTTGAAGATGCTATGTCAAAAAGATAAAAGAGGGCCGGGCTATGGTGGCGCACACCTTTAATCCCAGCACTTGGGAGGCAGAGGCAGGTGGATCTCTGTGAGTTCGAGACCAGTCTGGTCTACAGAGCTAGTTCCAGGACAGGCTCCAAAGCCACAGAGAAACCCTGTCTCAAAAAACCAAAAAAAAAAAAAAAAAAAAAAAAGAAAAAAGAGATGGCCAGCAACAGGGAGATGTCACTGAAGTCTGTTCTCCCTACTGGAAGACGGGTTAGCTAAGTAAATCGTGAGCACGTGAGGCCGGTGTGAGGGGCTGGGTGTGCTGGGAAGGATTCTACTCCCAGGGAAAGGCTGCCTGTGACTTCCCCTTCTTCCTCTCTCTAGACTTCTGCTGGTCTGCCGAGCCCCCAGATAGCCCATGAGCCTCGTGACTTTGATGGTTCCTTGCTTCTGCCATCGGGAAAGGGGCTACACTCAGGGGATGAAGGTTTTGCTCCAGCTGGGGCAGGCTCAGCTTGTAACAATAGGGGTTCTCAGACCCAGAGCCCACGGCGATGTTCAGTGGAGGCGGTGCTGGCCCGAAAGAAGCACCGTCGGCGGCCGTCAAAGCGCAAGAGGCACTGGCGGCCATACTTAGAACTGAGCTGGGCTGAGAAGCAGCAGCGAGATGAGAGGCAGAGCCAGAGGGCCTCCCGGGTCCGTGAGGAGATGTTCGCCAAAGGCCAGCCCTTGGCACCCTACAACACTACCCAGTTCCTCATGAATGACCGTGACCTGGAGGAGCCTAACTTGGATGTGCTCCACGGGCTGTCCCACCCAGGCTCCTCCAGTGGGGAGAATGAAGCAGGGGACAGTGATGGGCAGGGCCGAGCTCACGGGGAATTCCAGCAGAGGGACTTCTCTGAGGCCTACGAGCGGTACCACACTGAGAGCCTTCAGCGCCTCAGCAAGCAGGAGCTGGTGCGAGACTACCTGGATTTAGAGAGGCGGCTATCGCAGGCTGAGCAGGAAACTCGGAGGCTCCAGCAGCTGCAGGGGCGCCCTAACAGGCTGCCCTGTCAACAGGTGGAAGAGCTGGCGGCTGAGGTGGAGAGACTCCGGACTGAAAACCAGAGGCTTCGGCAGGAGAACGAGATGTGGAGCCGAGATGGCAGCTGCTGTGACCAGAAGCCAGCCACAGAAGGGACCACCGGCCCCCAGGATGAGGCCCTATTTCATACCCACGTGGGCCAGCTGGGTCACAAGGAGGCAGGTGACAGATGAAAGCTACTCCCAGTGTCCCTCCCTCCTTTGAGAACTGCTAAGGCAAGGTCAGAGTTTTCCTTGTCATTTCCACGGTTGGGTCTTTGATGTCATCTTACTTTTTAAGAGGAATTAAATGGCCATATGAGAACCACTGGGAGTGGCTAGAATTGATTTCACTAGGGCCCTGCTTTAGACTCCAAATTCCTATTTTAAGATTTATTTTTATTATTTTAATTATGTGACTGTGTGGATATATATATATATATATATATATATATGGCACATGTGCAAGTGTGCACAGATGTCTGAGGTGTCAGATGCCCCTGAAGCTGGGGTTATAGACTGTAGCACGATTAATAAAAACCCAGAGACAGATATTGGGGTTCAGCCTGAAGTTCAGAAAAGCAAAAGAGCCAACCACTGGCTCTTACTTTTACTTCAGTTCGAAATGGCGATCCTGCTCTGGAATCCTCAGAATGAGACTGTGTGAGGGCTGTCTCCTCCTGTTTTATATTCCTCTCTAGTGTTAGGAGTAAAGGCATGCACCACTACTGCCTGGTTTCTACAGCAAACTAATGTGGTTATTGGGATTAAAGGTGTGTGTCACCACTGCCTGGTCTGTAAAGCTGACCAGGGTGGCTGTTTTACTCTCTGATCGTCAGGCAACCTTTATTTATTAAAATATTTACAAATGAAATATCACTACAATTACAATTACAGGCAATTGTAAGCTGCCTGATGTGGGTGCTGGGAATTGAACTCAGATCCTCAGGAAGAGCAGTATGTGCTCTTAACCACTGAGCCATCTCTCCAGCCCATCCTTTTTATTTTTTAAAAAACTTAATTTTAGGCCGGGCGATGGTGGCGCACGCCTTTAATCCCAGCACTCGGGAGGCAGAGGCAGGCGGATCTTTGTGAATTCGAGACCAGCCTGGTCTACAGAGCTAGTGCCAGGACAGGCTCCAAAGCCACAAAGAAACCCTGTCTCGAAAAACCAAAAAAAAAAAACAAAAAAACTTAATTTTATATGTATGGGTATTTTGACCTCTCTCTCTCTCGCTCACACACGCACACATGCACACACGTACACATGTACATGCATATTAACAAACACATTAATACAAAATCCTAATTAAAAAAACCAACAAAAAACAAACAATCGAAAACCTTGTGGGCTGGGGACATAGGTTAGTGGCAGCAGGTACATTTACCCAGCATTCTGGAAGCATGGAGTAAGCTCATTGTCCTAGAGAGGTCTCAGTTTCCCCTTGCTCCAAGCCTGAGGAGACAGCCAACTTCTAGCCGGGTTCCCGGACCACACTCGTAAGTCTTGGAGTAATCATCCTGAGGGAGTCAGTCAGATGTGGGATAGAGAACTCAGTCAGGAGTCCCAGGTTCAGCTAGAACCTGATATTCCAGTTGCCTCGTGATAGTGGGGCTGCGAACAATGCCTGCCATTCCAATCTTCAGGCAGGAGGATCACAAATTTGAAGCTGGCCTGTGCTACAGAATGAGACCCTCCTGGAGGAGCAGGCTCCAGCTTGGAGTTTGTTCTGACCTTGTTCCCAGGATCCCCCAGCACAGTTCAGAGGGCTGAGCCTCCTTGATCTTGAGACCCTCCCACCCTAGCTTCCAACCTAAGCTGGTCTTTATGGTTCATCCCCCCCCCCTTACCTCCGGGAGGGGCACTTAGAAGTAAACACTCAAGATTCCCTGTGGCAAGACAGAGGGGACAGTGAGTGGATTCTTAGCAGAGCTTTTCTGTAGGACTTTTCTGTTGCCTCCCTTGGCATCCTCCTGTCGGCCTAATTAAGTGTGTGATCAATTCACTGTGAAGTACGAACCAACTGCACGATGCTGTGGGCTAGGGGAGCCAGGATAGAGAAGGCAGAGACGCTGTGTACCCACCCTCACCCCAGCAGATACCATCCCTGTGTCACCTATGGCTGGTACTGAGGATAATAACTTCAGTGGTGACAGGGCAGTTTAGTTCACCAGTGAGCCCCTGTTTCTGGCCCAGGCACAGGGAGGAGCAGAGACCTTGAGGATTTAGCCAATTTTCCCTTCCAGAGGCTTGGAACAACCACATCGGGCAAGAGAAGGGCTCAGGGCTGGGAACTGTTAGGGCTGGAAATGTTGACAAACCCTGCGTATTGCCAGGACAACTTTTATTTCTGTCCTGCCCCACCCAGGCCTGGCCAGCACCTTCTACAGCCTGCTGGAAGGAGGGATTGGTTTCCAGAGAAAGCAAAGCCTGGGGCTGCGAGATCTGTCTCCAGAATCCTGGTCAAAGGTTTTGTACCTTTCTCTTGCATTCCCTGACTGTCGTCAGCCAGAACGGTTGTCCCACTTTGCTGATGGGAAACCCAAGGTCCAGAGAGGAAGTGACTGTCCAGATTCCAGGATAGCCTGCCAGGGGCCTGCAGTATACTAGCCTGGGACCCAAGGCTTGCAGCCTCCCAGCTGCTGCTTCCTTAGAACAGAGCCTGGGAACACCACGACAAGGTTGTTTACCCAGAGGCAAAGTGTGTGTATGTGTGTGTATGTGTGTGTAACAAGGACAGGAAGAAAAGATTCCAAAGGGCTGCTGATGTGGGGGGGGGGGGCAGGGTGTGGAGTGGTCCATGTGCGGCGTGATTGCAAGTTGCTGGGCAAAGGGCAGGTGAGGAGGCTGGCCCCTCTTGGTCTGAGAGCTGAAGAGCTGAGGAGTGTGAGGGAGGGAAGCTGCCAGCCACCTCCGCCCCTTACATACACACAAAATGGCTGAAGGGCTCTTGGCCAGGATACCACAGAGGTGAATTAATTTCCCCAAGGCTGGGAAGATGGGGTGGGGTGTGTGTTTGGGGGGGGGGTGACAATGGACTGGGTGGAGCAAGAAGAAAACAAAGCAAAGGGTGGGTGTGATCTGGGAAAGGGTCCGGCCTGAAGAAAGTCCTGTCGGCTCTGGCCTCCAGCTGGGCCCCCCAGTCTTAGGGTCAGCAGTGCCAGGAGAAGAAGCCATCTTGAGAACTTGATGCTGGGGAGAGCTGGAGGCCAGGTGTGAGCCCCTTTCATGTGACCTCCACTTTCCTTTCTGCTGTTCTCTTTGGCAGCCAGGTCGGGAGGAAGGCCTGTATATCCCAGTGTACAACAGAGGCACTTCCTCACCCCCACAGCTGGGGAAAACTGGCTTCCAGAGTAAAGCTCAGAGAGGCTCACTTCCCTCTGACCTCTGGGCCAGGAGAGGCCCAGACAGCGATTCTTTCGTGGAGCTGATGGTTCAAGCATCCCACCATGCCTGCTTGCCTGCCTGGCTGGTTCTCTCTCTGGGACTTTGTGATCCCAGGTGACAATCCCAGTACCCATTGGCAGATCCTCCCTGCAGTGGGCTCGGTTAGGAAGGGTAGAAACATGGACAGAAGTGATGGGTGCTTCTAGAGGAAGCATTGCCAGTGTTAGGGAGTCACACAGAATGGCAGAGTAGCTGGTTCTGTTGTCCCTCTTGAGAACAGCAAGGTTGGCACTGGCCCTTTAAGTGGGGGTGCCAGCCAGTGCCCTCCCCCAGCCAACCCAATTCATGGGCACACTGAGCATGTGCAAGATCTGTGCAAGTGAGGAGGGGAGGAGGTGGTGGGGGGGGATAGATTCCGGAGGGAGCTTCCCACCCCCTACTTCCTGTAGCTGCCCCCACTCTCCTTCCTGGGTCTGACAAAGGAACCCATGGTCCTTCCTCAGTCCCTTCCCCCACTCCAAACTAGGGGGTGCTACCCTTTGGGTCTCCTGAGCTACCAAGGGTTCTGGGCAGGCCCCTCTGGTCTTGGGAAGCCTCCCCAGTGCCTGGAGGTGGTGAGTGCCAGCCAGCCTGGCTTCTCTGGTGTGGGCAGTGACCAACCTTCTGCTGCTTAACGTGTTTGATTTCATTCCATCAGTGCCAGATTTTTAGGAGAACCTGTGATGTTGCTCTGTAAATTAAACAACAGAGAAAAGGGTGAGGTCCCTGCCCCCACCCACCAGGAGCTTCCAGTCAGGGAGGGGAAGCAGACACCTGGGGCTCTGAAACTCAGCTTCCTGTACCTGCAGCCTCCGGCATCCTCTCCTGCCACAACCTCTAACCTGTTTCTGTCTTCAGAACTCAGTTCCTCCTGTGCAATTGTTATCCCTGCTCTTTCCTTTAGTCTTTGAACTTTAGGTACCTATAGCTTTTGTTAAATACAAGGGGGAAGCAGGACTGTAGCTCAGCTGGTAGAAGAAGGCTTAGTGTGCGGGAAGCCCCAGGTTAGATCCTCAGCAGCTCAGGAACTTGGTGTAGTGGCTGATACTTGTAAGAATTAGAAGGTCAATATCATCCATCTCAATGTAAAACTTTGTCCCCAGGAAGCAAAAATTGGGGGCCAGAGAGATGGCTCAATGCTTAAGAGGGCTTACTGCTCTTCCAGAGGACCGACTTCAGATCCCGGCACCCATGTTGAGTGGGTCATAGCTGTCTGTACTTCAGCTCCGGGAGAGCGATCCGACACCCTCTTCTGGCCCCTATGGGTACCTGCACACCTGTGGTCTCTTCTCTCTCTCTGTCTCTCTCACACACACAGGCAGAGCAAAAATACTTGGTAAATTTATATAACATGAAATGTACTATTCAAATGAGCAATTTGGTGACTTTTCCATTCATAATGTGTGCATCCCAGCACCCCACTACCGATTCCATAAAGTTAAACTGAAGCCCTGTTATTCTCCGCCCCAGTCCCCCTTTTCTTAGCCCTGAAAGCCATCCACCGGCTTTTGGTGCCTGAGTGTTTCCTCAGTCTAGACAGATCTCCAATACCCATAGCCACACCACCCTGAACATGCCAGTCGCTTCCCCAGTACATCTAGGCAGGAGACTGGGTGTCCAGATCCAAAGTATAGTCTCCTCAAGGGTGCTTTGGAGGGAGGAGCTCGGGGCCAGGGGTCCCCAGACCTCAGAAGATTCCTCTTCAGTCACAGGGACTGCGCCTCTCATTTGTGAGGTGCAGGCAGGAGTTGCAGCCCAGGCTGAGATCCTGGGCTCTCTGGGCAAAGCTCTGCTGCCTGACTTGAAAAATGTATGCCCCATCTTTATCTTCTTGGGTCCTCACTGCAAGTCCAGGCAGTGGATATGGCCCCAGGGACAGTGTGACTCATACCTAAGGT